CGCCATTGATGGTCAGTACATGGGACCAGTGAGATAATATTACTAGTATCTCCATCGGGATGGTTAACACATAAACTTATTGGGATAATATTATCTTGCCAGTGATGGCCAATATTCGGGGGGGAAGAGAATAAATTAGCCCCTTGAAAGGGCAATACTTTTAACCAATGATATAACTATGGCTGGGCTAGGGGGGTAAATATTGTGAATCTGTACGTGCTACACAGAAACCGCATACCATTTCTCTTCCTCACAAAGATGCATATACAAAAAAATTATATACGGACCATCTCTGAGTGAACCCCACAAAGGTCCAAATATAACTTAGTCCTAATAACACAGAGATAATATTATGTAGTCATTTCCAATTTTAGGTAATTATTGGTCGAATTCTGCTTTTTCGATTATTTGTGCACCTTCTGTAGGTGAAATTATTCATGAAAAATAATTCCATGTTGCTAGAAAGTTCTGTTTTGCCATCTCACGAGAGGTCTTCTCTTTTCTGATCTTCTATTTCATGTATCTAGCTAATTTGTGATTTCCTCTCTTCATAAAATTCAATGTTTGTAGAAGTCGACGACCAAGACCGACGTTTTATGTGACTGACACCAGTTCGTATAAAACTCGGATAAAACATATACAGACGTATTACCCTTCATAACTTCTAGTCAAAAACGCTATATTTTAAGCAAAATGAAACTCATTTCCTGAATAAAAACAAAAACCGCATATCAGCCATATTCTGAATAGTAACAAGACGATATCAATGTCATCTTCACCATCTCTTACGATTAGCTCAGAAATTTAATTATTAGATGCATGGCCCATTATGTTGAAACATGTTGAAAACGCAAGCCCGAATTCTGTATATAAAAAAAATTTTGTTTGAATTATCCATAATCGCAAAATTGGCCTGGTTATAGATAAGTGCGCAAAGTACGGCACTCAATTAAAAAGTGGATTTTTGTTTCTGACTTCCAAATTATCGAACCTTAGGAGTGGTGTCAGTGTGCTCGCAAAACAAGTCTTATAATACTGAATGTTCGTAGTCGGGGAATACTATCATTACCAAAAACATGTTCTCTTGTTTTTGTTTTTTTATTAAATCATTGTAAAAAAATCCAAATATTTCACGCGACATTGTCCATTTACAAGTAATGATATTTTCCAACTTTTGTATAAACATAATATATATTAGCTGGGTTTTATTTTCGTCGATAGTTAAATGCAACACACTAAAACCGAATATATTGAGATGCTGAATGACCATGCACATGTTTTATAAACCACGCCCACTTTAGCGAAACCAAGTCAAAACTCGATGTTCAAGTTTATAGAACTTAGAGTTGCGGACAACGTGCATTTTTCTCGTTGTTGAACGTTTAATCGAATTCAAGTAACGGGAAATTAAATTAACGTTTTGTCTGTCTATTTGTATGGGGTTTCGTGACGCGATGTTTGCGTAATTTGATTGATGTCCGTAACTCGGTCAATTCAGCATCTCAGAATATCGATATGTAATAGAAAGTATCGATTGAATTTAAAAATAGAGAATATTTTTCTACAGTAAACAAAATGTTGTCACGTGTCTATAATGAAAGATGCGAACACTGCCATCAAAATATAAACAATGAATATTTATTATCGTAAATTATCGTGCGCAGTAGCCATGGCAACTCTAAGGTTTAAATTACTTGTGGGGAACTCGAAAAGAGCTCCCTGGTAAATTTTGAAAAAAAAATCAACAGTACATTTCGAAAATAAGGTCCCAGAGCAGTTTTAATGGGATTTCCAGATACATTTCGAAAGAGAATTCCCCGGTAAATTCCTGGTACATTTCGAAAGAGAACTTCTCCGAGAACTCTCGGTACATCTCGTTTTGCAGATACACCTGTTTAACAAGTATAGATGCATGGAAGCAGAGACTTCCCTCTATTATTCAATTTATTGCAAAAACTGTTCTAAGTTGTTCACAAACTTGTTTATTTGAAAAATATATAAAGTATTGTCTTTAAAATTGAAAAAAATAACCCCAAACCAGTAGTACACACAATTGTTAACTGATAATTACAATTGCATCACATTGATTGTACATTGCGAGAGTGGTCGCTCCACGGGCGTCATTCGTCTACCCAAAGACACTCTAGTGTACCTAACCTCGGTCCCAGCGTTGAGGGCAGTTACTTTGTAACTCGTACTAGTTAACACCAGAAGTATTGCCGTACATACACGTCGATCGCCGCTGACTTATTGTTTAATCGTACAAAGTAGAGTGCACATCTACTAATTCCAGTTACGTCATCAATTCAAACAATTATTAGTCTATATGGTGGATGTCTTGGCAGGCGGTTTTGCGAACGCCCGTGGAATGAATCCTTCTCTTTTTTTCCTTGGTGAGTACGCCCATATCCAACCATCCTGGCGCTGATTGGTCAAATCAGCGTACAGGTACTCACCACGTGACACAGTAAGGTCGTCTGAGTGCTGGGCCTGGAACATAGAGATCCACAAAATATCGTTAGTATATTAAAATCTTCTACGCCCGATTTATACAGAATTATGTACTACCCAGTACATCGCCAGTGATGCAACCAACAATCTACTAGACTAAGTACTGTGTTAGTGTTCTAGTCAAATACAACAAACACAAGATCAACATCTCACTATATCACGACTCTACTATGATTGTAACCAGGATCATACTCAGATATTCTGAAAATAAATACCTTGTTTCATGACAAAAACCGTTTGCGCCTAGAGCTCAAAAAACGCATTCCTTTTGTTTAGTGAGAGAGTAATCACGTTCTTCAATTTTATACAACGAACTTTTACACGTCTGCTGTTTAGAAACGTGCAAAGAAGCAACTAATCAGACTACGTTAGTGGTTATATATATATATATATATCTATATATATATATATATATATATATATATATATCTTGCCTCGTCGACTTTGAACACCTGACAGAGACGAAAGCGCAAATTTGTATTGTTCTATCGGCTACAATCATGAGTCATCGGCGAAATTAAAAAAACAAACGGCGTTCAATACTATCGAACGCACTATGAGTTTCTATGACAATATGAAATAGTAGGCATTTGGGTATTTTACCACGTGACTGTACCTGATAATGATAGAGGGCGACAAGTTCTGTGCCAAACTGCCGTAATCGATCAGTCTCCTTGGAGGAATCACTAGATAAAGATAGACCGTCCAGATCGATATCTTGATAGCCGACTGAAAAGTCAACAGTTCTACAAGTTATGACTTGACCAGTACTTATATTCAACCCCATTGAACAATATAATACACAAGGAAAAGCTGTTAGACATGATATCAATAGGTGATTTTCCGTACAATTGCGAGATCTCGCGAGATGCATGAATGACTCGCGTCGAACGTCTGCCGCAAAAATCGAACGATTTGATTTTGAACTAGAATTTCTTTATTTCGTAGCTTACATTGACCGGCCGATCTTCGACAGAGGAATATTGTTTCCGAATACCCTTACTTAATCGAAATTGCCTATCATCAAATGTGGACAGCACATTATTAAGCATGGAAATGTTCCCACAATACTTTCGCGTTTGTCGAATCCCACGCGATGTTTGACGCCACTACGACGCTATGACCTTTGTTTGTCCTGTTTTTACGTTCGATTTCACGCATAACGCGTGATTCTCGCAGTGAACGGGAAATGGTCTATTAGACTTTATTTGTTGTGCTATCAAGTTAGATAAATACCCCAGCCATGGCAAATTAACAAATAATCGATTACAGCGACTTTGACTTTCCAAATTTGAAATAATCACCAAATGTCACGGTGACTTTTTAAAAATTGAAAAAGGCATCTAAATATAAATGTATCCTTATAATGTTGATAAAACGCAAATAATTTCTGTGAGCTAATACATAAACAAAATTCATAACATACGTGTTGCTTTTGAAATTAATAAACGGTGAATTATCACATAATTTACCAGAATAGTAATTCACTTGAATAAGCATTGATGTGCAAAAAGAGTGCCGCCATAGACAACGTCCGTGCGTCGCCAGTGTGAAATCGCGCCCTCTATCAGCGGAGAGAGCCAGAAAGTTGTTTAGCCTAGTTTTGAGGTTTTATTTCACGCTGTTATAATAGTGCCAAGCAAACAAGATATCGATCTACCATAAATTATCTATTCAAAACAATGATTGCCAATTATCGCATACGGTGGATTTTAATCAATAACTTTTTTCCACTTTATATTTGCAAGACAAATTCTCGCGAGTTGCGGAAAAGCGCGAAATTTCGCATCAATGGATATTTTGCTTTAGTCAATATGTCCCTATAAGTGTCCCTAAATCACCAAATTGCTTACATTAAGCAGTTTTGTGTAACTATGTCAGCGCCCTACCTTGACAGCCGGACAGACACGACATCAAATTCCACCACAAATTAGGAGATCTACTCACCGCTTGAAATATCAGAAGCCAGGAATTTCCTCGGAACAAACCCTTCCCTCCCATCGAGTTTCATCACCCACATCCAGTCGGGATCGTCTCGATTTAACACCGTGACACTTTCTCCCCGCTGAACACTCACGTCATTTTCGTCCATTGCAATAAAGTTGTACAGGACCACATATTGTCCTATTGAAGTTTTTCGAAAAGGGCGTCTGCCAATTTCGGGTGACGGGCCAACGAGGGCGCTCTCATCTCCCGGCTCTTCTGGTAGAATGTGCTGCGCAGTGACGTCTCTGGCACGGTCCGGATCGCTATGTAAGGCCACGCAGTAAGCATGTGGGATAAAACCTTCCCCGCCACCGTCTAAAATGACGTAAACCCAGTCATTTTCTTGGTACAGCACGTGGACTGCGTCGCCACGTTTAACTTCAAGTTCATCGTCAACGCACGGTGTAAAGTCGTGCAAAACTCTCATCCGCGTCTGCGGCTCGATTCCCTCTTCTTTGCTGATACCTACGCGGACTAATGTGTCCACGCTGTCGCTCCCCGTAATACGCCCAAACAGAACATCCTTAGGGTGTCGTTTTGCTAGCAAATAATAAGAGAAACATTTATTATGACACATGTAATTGATTCGTATTCCAGTTGCGCTTTCTACTCGGTGGGTTTGAAAAAAAAAACGACACAAGCGCGGCGAAGCGGTGGGCTAAATAACTACACTGGATACTACATGTATTTCAACAGTTATGAATATCATAATGTTTGCGTTATATTTCAAATATTAGTCAAGGTGAAACACATCGTCGTATTATTGACAAT